AACAAACAAATAGGCAAAAAAAACCCGAACAAAACCAAAGAGAATGAGGTGTTGGTATTAGTTATTAGTGGATATCACAGTAGGCAAATGGCTGTTTCCCACTGGATCACCATGAAAAGCCACATATTACAGCTGCTCAAAAATATACACAACAGGAGAAATATAAAAAGTGATACATGGCAACTCTGGGGGCAGCTGTGGCAGCTTTGCATTAAGGTGAAGGATGGGCATTTGGTGGTATGGATTCAGTCTATCCCATCCTCCAGGCTGCTGTTTGCTCCTGATGAAAGACCCTTGCATGACCTTGGCTCCTCTCACTGAAATATAAATCATTCCCAGAGCTCTCTGTTGAGCTCTAGTCTTTCCAGAGCAGGATTCAGGGACAAGATGGAAGATCCTGAGCATCTTCACCCTCAGAACCAGAAAATTCAAGTTCTCCCTAAATTGAGTCTTCACAGGACGTTTCCAGCATCTCTGCAAGACTTTTTTGATGTGACTTCATGCATGGTGATACATTTGTGGAAGGAAAAAACATGTAAAAAAATATGCAGGAGATGGTCATTAACTGAACCACAGGTTCAGGGCTCTTATAATAATTGCCCATGTAGTGAATATTTGAAATTATATAAAAAGCTCTTAAGTGAGTGGGGACTTATATGGAATGGTTGGGGGGGAAAAAAGAAGTACACTTCTTTTATAGGAGAGTTAATTTCACACACCAGTCTATCAACTTGACATGTTCTTTGAGAAGGGAAAAACTTTACAAGGCATTTTAAAAATACTTTCATTGGCAGGTGAGAACATTAGTAAACGAAAATGGCTTTTCACCATGCAGTAACCACTAGGCAATTGAGGTTTGTTTGTAGGCAGCCTAATGAAACCAGCAGTTAACGACCTAATGAGAAGTTGACCCAGCCCACATCTCCACAGAGACATCCCTTTTCTGTCCGGGTTTATCCTGCACCCAGTGCTTTCCAGAGAAGTGTAGTGATCAAGTAAAAACTGCCTTATTGTGTAGAAGTGATGCCCTTTTCTGAGGTGGTGTTTCACACATGATGCTGCCACATTGGGGTCGCATCCCAAAGTCCAATGTTTCTGCAGGAGCAGGGAGATGTCTGATAGCACAGCATGGGAGAATCTGATCAGAGGAATTTTATTTTAGTGTTTCCCTTAGTGCCAGACAGCACTGGTTATTGATAAATCTTCAGATCAAAGATAAGATGTTGCTGTTTTGGCTCTAATCATAGATTGTTTTCAATATAGGTTTCTCTGTTAATATATTGTTTTTCTGTTTCTTTTGAATGTCATTCCTGGCGACCTTTAAAGGTCCCTTCCAACCCGAAGTATTCTATGATTATTTTGATATATAATGAGTAGCAACACCTATTTTACTCTCATTATGCACAGTATTACATGATGTCTAGCCTTTTTATGTTCTTTCTTCTCCAGGTCCTAATCCCTATTCTCACTCTTTTATGCTCTTAATTATTTCTGTTGCTTATCAGTTGCAGGACTTTTCAGTTCTGCCACCCACGTTTGGAGGGAGATGTCTGTGACTCACTGCACCATGACATCAGGTCAGTCTGAAGATGAACATTAGGATGTGTTCAGCTGTATCTTCTCTTTCTCCCTCTGTTGACATGCTGCTGTTTTGTTATAAGCACTCTTGCTTTCTGAGCTCTCTTACATGGCTTGATCCACTTCTGGATAATCAGAGGGGTATCAGGATTTAATCCCTTCTCTGCTCTAGGGTCTGGCTTTTGAAGAACCCAAATCATGCTCTCCTACTCATCTCATCCTGCCCTTGATGGAAATGTTAGACCGTCATGGATCATTTTTCAACTTTGTGCATTCTGGCACTGCTTCCCAAGAAAGGTTTTTGAGTCTCTGAAGGGTTTTCTGGTGGGTTAATGACAATCCTAATGCTTGATGGGGGTTGCTGTTGTGAAACCTCCTGAAAAATGTTGCTTTTTTTTCCTTTCAGGTGACTCTTTTCATCAACAGATTATGAGCTTTTGGGATGTCTTTTCCAAGGGAATTTCAATGAATCTCAGTTTGGGGCTTCAAAGGGGAATGGTGTGTTTTTTCCACCAGCACCTGCTTACAATCCAATTAGCTAACTGCCTTTAATTAACCATAATATATTTCAGGAGAACAGAATAACAACAGAACAAAATCAAGCAATGACAAATCTGTGACTAAACTTGGACTCACCCTTTCCCAGATGCAGGATTCTGGGCAGCCCTGTAACTCCTTGTTGTCCCTTTTGAGCTCTACTATGAAGTGCCTTGAAATGCTTGGGGAAAAAAAAAGAATTGAATCCCTCATCTCCAGATTCATATGCCCCACAGGTATCTGTTTATGTGCTTTCCTTAAAAATGTGGTTAGATGAGGGGTGTGGGACTCGTTTCTTCAGAAGGGCAGGAGAAACAACTGATGCTCCCCATGAAGGGCCTCCTTACCCAGCAGTCTCACACAGATTTGCTTCTGAAGAGCTTTATAATTTGTCCTTATTATGTTCTATGTGTGATTTAATGAAAGACTCTTTCTCTACTGTAATTGAGCTCTTAATCTTCTCTAAAAAGCAGAACAGAATCCCTTCAGAAATGGTGTTTGAGTAACAGGCTGATTGTGTTTCCTGCGCCTCGGTGTTGCTCACGGAGCCGCTTGCTCTTTATTTAAGAGCAGAAAATAAACAGATTTCTTTCAGTCAAAAATGCATCAGTGATGCCATACAGAGTAGGTTTGAGTAGCAAACTATCTCAATGCCCAGCTGAGCAAGCAAGACCTTCCCTGATTCTGCAAAGAATATAAAGAAGTGAGTTTTCCTTAGTGAGCACCCAAGGCTTCATGGAGGTGATGTTCAGGAAATGGCACATAGAGATGGAAGCTGTCAGGGAAACTATTTGCTCTGGACAGGTAAAGGCTGGCAGGAGATAAAAGTGGAAACTCAAAATAACAGGATGCTGAAAAAATTGTAAGAGAAAAATTACTTCAGTGAAAATCTCTCCATCTTAAACCTTCAAAAAACCCCACTTTTACAAAAATCTACAAAAATGTCCTGCTTTTGATCAGTCTTGGCCTTCCTAAACAGCATTTCACAATCAAAATTATGAGGTAAGAGAGTTTAAAGAAAGCTTAGCACTGGGTTTTTCATTGTGACCTTAGCAGATCTTTTTTTTTTTTTTTTTTACCTTGTTGTAGGTTGGAGAGAAGCCACAAACCTCCACTGCAGGATGGTGAGACTGTTGATCTAAACAATCCCCAAACCTACTGCTGGACTGACCTGGAACCAGAATCTGGAGGGGACTATGTGAAGCACTTGACACTAGAAAATGCTTGAAGCTTGATGGTGATCCACAGCTCCCTGTTCAAAACCACGGGCAATGCCAGTGGTGATGAGCTCGCTGCCTGCTCTGTGCAGAACTGATGGTCCTGAGCAGCAGGGCCGTGGAATGAATGGGCTGATGGCTCTTTGAGGCACTCAGAACCTTCCATCTTTGCTGCTTTGCCCACACTAGAGAGTGCATTTACTAGAGCCATACCTGGAGAGCGGGAAGGATGAACAAGCCTGCCCTGCCACTGGCTGCCAGTGGATGTTGGGCTTGCTACAAGCATTCAAGTTACATCTTGTACAAGTCCATGCTGTCAATCCACAGGATTCCAGGCTGAGCTCAGATCAGCTCTGTCATTTACCAGATGAGTGAGGACCAGACTCTACATCACAGTTCCACAGCTGGAGACGAGTGGGTCGAATCCTGCCTGTCGACAAGATGAGGAATGTGTCATGTCTTGTCTTGCCATGTACAGTAGATATTCTGATTTAAAACAATGCTGTCTTCCCAGATTCCACTTCTTCCTGTGCCTCCTTGCATGTG